ATGCTGCTCACTTGCCTCTTCTGTTTGATGCGAGTTGCTTTGCATATACAAAATTTTCCAGTTATTTGAGTTATTTTCTCTGCAGGACCTGGGTCTGGGGAATCAGAATTGTGACTGGATTTCTCATCGGTTTTATATTATTTCTGAATAATCAGGAACAAAGTGATAGAAACAATGTTTTCTTTTTCTCTTTAAGATCACTGCCTGTTCAGTAAAAAAAATTACAATATTGTTCCTTCCTTTTTTTTCTCCTAAGTTTTGTTTTTGTGTATCTGAACAAAGCCAAAGCTCCTGACAATGCAGAGATCTCAATTGACCTTTTATCCTTCCTTCCAGAAAATTTATAACCAGCTTTAAATAATGTGCATCTCCATGCAGTTAGTTCCTCATGAACTGTACTTTAGCACAGTTTCAGGTGTTAAATAATAAAATTATAGAGTCGAATAATACATCAAAGTTGGTAAGAAATAAAGTTGAAAGGCAAAGAAGAAGAGTGCCTTTAAAATCATGCATGAACAGAAATTTGATTAGAAAATTAAATTAATGAGGCACCGAACACAAATGAAATCCTTTTTGGAAAGGAATTTTTAACTTTTGAAAATAGATGGTGTATTTGGATGACAAATAGATATACAGTAATAAGCATAAAAATAGAGAAAATAATTAAAACAAAAAAGATCACCCTTTTCAGGCAAAATAAGTTTGTCGGGATAAATGTCTGTAATGTCCTGCTCCTCAGGAGATGACAACTGAAAACTGAAAAATTATATTCTGTGTGTAGGAAAAGGATTTTTTTTTTTTAAACTCTTAGAGAAGCCTGGTGAGGAAGAAAATGCAGGCTACTAGCTCCTCTCTGTATCTTTAACTTAATGAACAGGCTAGGGTAGATGATTTCCAGCCATCTCGTCAGTAATTAGCCATGGTGCTGACTAAAAGCATCGTAACAGGGGTACAGGAACAGCGTCTCAGCTCCTCCACCAGTCAACAGCTCTCACCAGTTTCCTTTCCAAAAGCCAACGTTACACAGTGTGTTATTATGTGCTAGTAATTATGCTCTGCAATGGCAGAAAACTCTTGTTTCTTAAGAAAAAGAAAAAAGCATTAAAGCAAAAACAGTTTTCTTAACTGAGAAATTGAATCAAAACTACCAAGCCGATTTTGGAGGACATCGAGAGGTCTTTGCTCAGAGACCTCATAATTTTTAATACATTAATTTAAAAAAAATGAAATAAAGTAAAAGGTAAAGGTTACTCGCACAAGAAAGTATAAATTTGGTAACTTGGTCAAATTTGGAGATAAATATAGCTGAGTCAAAAATTGCTGTTAGAACGTTTCTGAAAGAGAAAACCATCTGGAAATGTCCGAGGCATCACACAGGAGACTAAACACCACAGCATAACCGTACCAAGCACCGCACATGAGACCCTGCATCTTGCTCGCGCTCAGGCCCATTTTGCCATTGAAGTTCAGTTACATTTATGTGCCAACAAGATACTGCTTGTGACCAGGGACAAGGGAAATAAGAGATAACCCAACTCCTTGTAGCCTTTGGGTAACAAAAGCACAAAGAAATAATGTGAGTGAAACATCTGCATCTTTTAAGGGAAAACACAGCAATGGTTAAATTAGCATCATGTGGTTTTCTACTCCATTTATACTTTCAGAGTGTTAGAAAGAATAATTAGCTTGCTTTAGAAGAACATCTAAAATCAACACTTTCTGAAGTAATTGCCTTGATAAAGAACATAAATAATGTTATTTCAGTCACTGTAGGCGAAACATAACTTCAGGCTGAGTGTCTTAATATACTATGTGCACAGAATAACAAACTGCAAATAATTAATTTGTCTATGTTCAGGCTCACAATTTCAACAAACACTGTAGCACTTCTGACCTAAGTCTATTTTCACATAGCCGTACACAGCAGAGTAACAACCACAAATCAATAGATCCCTTGTCATATTTAGACCCAGCTTCACACATCGTGGCCTCTTAAAGGATAGCACAGATTCACGCACTTAAGCCCGCACTGGACATGACATGCATTTTACTGAGGATAACTCCTAATAACATTAAACAGTCATTGCTGTTATTACACATTTATATCATATGCATTCTGACTTCATTTATATGCCAAAAATACAAAGCTTGGGTTAGGTAAAAGCAATTTGCCCACATGTTTTTTGGAGTGGGATGGGGCAGAGTGGTGTAAGGAGGTTGGGGAATAGGAGCAACTGTTGCCATTTTTGGCTGCGGTTATCACTTCCAGTACAAAAAACTGTGTCCGCTACAGCTGTCTGAAAGAATGCTGCTGTCCAAATTTGTATTACTCTAGTCTAAATAGTATGCCTCCCTTCTCCCTCCCTCCCTCCCTCTCTCTCCCCAAGTCTTTAAGTTTTTTGGCAACCATTTCTCTTCAGTGATTTGGTACCTTTGCCCTGGGCATTATCCGCTGGTATTGCAGATTTTGCCCCCACCAAAAAAAAAAAAAAAGAGAAGAGAAGAAAGAGATAACTAGGTACCTGCCCCTGCGTACTTAGGAACAATATTCCTCCCATTTGAATCAGTCTGTGAGGCTTAGAGCAGGCCCCTTTATAAGGGTGTAAGATCAACCCGGCCTGCCCGTTTCTTTCAGAAGCGCGAGCACGGGCCGGCTGCCCTGTCGGTGACACCTCTGCGACAGAGAAACCGGCAAAGCCGCACGGATGTTTGCGGAGAGACGCTGCCAAGCCAGCTCCAAGGAGGCGGCTGTTCTGGCCCGGCTCGCGAGATCCGGACGGGAGCGGAGGGGCACGGAAGCGGCAGCTGGGCAGCCTGCGCGATGGGGGCGGGAAGGGGAACGCGCATCTCCACCGTGGAGACGAGAGACACCTGCCCAAAATCCCTGGAGCTGCTCCCCGTGCTTGTGCACACCCAGAAAAAAAAAAATCTTTCTTTTTTTTTTTTTTTTTTTTTTCTCCCTCCTCCTCTTCCCCTTCGTAAAAGGTGGAACAACAGGAACAGTATGATCTGGAGAAATTAAGAGCGCTGCCAACTGTAATCACCATTTAACAAAAACTAAAATTTCCTATAGCCCTGTAGTCATTGCTCTATCCCGGAGAGGAAATACCTTTCAGGCAGAGGAAGGAACTGAGCCCAAGTTACAGAATTATTTTATAAAATAAGACAATTACTTCATCTGTGGCAGTTTTCTTAAAACATCCTTCCTTTTCTGCTGCTTTTTTTGTAATCATATCAAAAAGCCAGTCATTTGCATCAGTTTTGTAAAAGTATTCTAAAATAGCAATGGTTTTCTTAAAGGGACCAGAGCTTGGCCAAAGGAGAGGGAGAGGGAATGGGTCACCTCTGGGACACACATCAGCCTCCCTCTAGCCAACATCTGAAAAATCAACTGTCAACAACTATATCATAAAGTCATATCATAAACCTTCAATTAATGACCCTAAAACTTATTTATTATAAATAACCTTAAGTCACAGGTTACCCTTTAATTTTTCTTAGGCACAATAAGTATCACAGTTATAGTTGCCAACTTAGTTCTACAAGTCTATTTTTGATGAAAAGCAAAATCAGCAAGAAAATAAATGACTGGAACCCTTTTTAATGTCCCCTTTTTAAATAATACCTTAATAATAACTATAACACTCACAATCACCTGTAGGGTCATCCACTTAGATTACTTTCATGAGATTTTGGTTCTTTGACAGAGAAATATTTTGTCAGTGAGTGGCTTTCTATGTGTAAAAAATTAAAGGCTTAGTCATATAAATATATCTCTCAGGAATAAGAAAAGAGTAATCACATAATAATAATAATAATAATAATAATAGTTTAGTGGCTTATCATAGAAGAAAATAAACTTTGCAACTTTCAAATTGCATAGGCAATCTGTGCCATTTACCAGGAAAATGACTCAAAACTCTACTCATTCTTCCAGAAACGCCCCCAAATCCATACTTTAAATGTACCAGATAAAACCTGGCATAAGACGCACAGAATTCTAATATCAGGAGATCAGTGGGAGAGGTGAATCAAGGGAAGTGAAACAGAGATGCAAGAATAAACCTCCTTGATCAGATGTTGCCACCCAAGATAAAACAGAGGCTTTTAGCACCTATAGCTCCGCACAGGTGCTGCTCCCTTTCAGTGTATTTTAGCTGGAAAACAAGTAGTTTACACTACAAAACCGGAAGGTCTTCTTCCTTAGCAACTGGCTAACCAGGACACACAGGAGTGCGAAGCAGCTATCCTTAGGTGCCTACGATATGGCACTTAACCCCTTTGCTCCTTCCACTCCTCCCCTGGTCAATATATCTCTCAGTCATCTGAACATTACTATGATGATGCCTGCATGAACATTTTCACAAGTCTGCAATTACACTTCTCATCATTAAAGCTGTAATTCTGCAGACACATTTTAACAGTGAGAAAGCATCAGTATAATGAGTTTTATGAGTTCAGATAACACAAGTAATGCTTAACTGGTTCATAAATTTGTAAACCCACATGAATTGACAACACTGAAAAAACACTCTATAGTTGCCCTAGTTGATGGCATTTATCAGCTTCATGGCAGTATATTAAGTGCAATATTTTAAGTTAAACACATCTATATTTTATAGTTATACTACTATACAAACCCTGAAAAACAGGAAGAAATGTAAAGAAAATATTATGAATAACATGCTGTCTAAAAAGCAAAAACTACAAAAGCTTAACATTATGGTATAAGGATTCAATCCAAATGCTAAATGCATAAATATGGGAAATCAGAAAAAGGTCCAGAAAAATTATGTCTTTTCATGCATCTGAAGGCTTATATGGCAGCAAAGTGGGGATGAATTGTGCCTTTCTTCCCATTAAGGTAACTCTTCACGTTTCCTTTTTACTTCAAATGATCTCAGGAATACATTAAGATAAATTTAAGGTGAAAAGACAAACTGCAGTGATGTGCTGAACAAGCTTTTATACAGATTTTTCTGAGGCCTATCAGCCTTGACCTGCAATATCCCTGACACTCAAATCAGCTGAAGCAGAAAAGGACAATTATTCTGCATTATGCTTCATTGTGAGATAGAAAATCTAGAAGAAAGAATAACAACACTGCCAAAATTATTTCAATTCTGCCTCATAACTGATGCAGATTTTCAAGGGAAAGAAATTTAGTCCATGAATTTGCTCTGTCAGCAAAGTTTCCAAATTTGATTTTGATTTATTAAGAAGAACAATGACAAGGTGGTTAGACTTGCAAATACAAATGAGTATTTTATAGTTCAGACACAGGCAACAATATCTTGTGAATCAACGAAAGGCTCTCAGAAAGAAGAAAATGTTCTGTAAAACAGAATTTAATCTAGTTTATTGATTGATTATAGCACTTTAAAACAAGCATAAAGGAAAAGAAACATCCTAGGAGGAATCCATACTAAATTGTATAGAACGTATGAAGGAAGGACATGAAGAGAACTACACACTCAAAGCTGACAAAAGAAATCTGGAATACGTGGAAAGATACAATGATGCTCTCAAGGGGAGCAGAAACACAGGAAAGATACAGAAATGATAGAATCACAGAATGCTTAAGGTTGGAAGGGACCTCTAGAGATCATCTAGTCCAACCCCCCTGCACACGCAGGGTCACCTAGAGCACGTGGCACAGGACTGCGTCCAAGCGGGTTTTGAAGATCTCCAGAGAACAGAAAAGCAGAATATGGGATACCATGTTCAAGAAATACTAAGAAAGGCTTTGTAAAAATAATTAATATGTTGGATGGTAGGCTGGCTTCTGAGAGGAACATACTCCTAAAATGTCATGTGGTTAGCTAGTTGGAGAAATAAAAACTTTTTTTTTTCCTCAAGCGAAATCTCACTCTGAATTATACAAAAAAGCAAACCTTCACAAAAAGCAGCTTTTCTACTCTTCCACAAAATGTAAATATGAATTTTATCTAGTTAAGGAAGAAATCCCAAGATAAGACTACGCATTTTATGAGTTAATGAAAGACAGGGGAAAAACTGTCCATTATATCTTTTTCCTGAAAACGTATGAAACACAGAATACATTAAAATCATAAAACAGTTGCCTCCTTACATATGTGAAAGAGGACCAGGTTTTGGATTCTTTTATCTTTGAGACTGTGATCTATTTTATGTCCATTTCTTTTTAAATAGGATTTTGCACATCTTGGGTAACCTTAAGTTTTCAAAACAGTGAGAATATTTAACATTCTCTTGCATAAGGGCAAAACTAATTCTATTTAAGAGGACTGAGGTTGATAAAAAGATATATATATATTTTAAGCAATCTTTTGATTGGGCTATTTCTCCAGGAACTATATATCAAGTTACTAAGAAAGAGCATGTTATCCAACATTCTTTTCAAACAGGAAGAAAAATAAAACTTTTTTTTTATAAAATATTAGTATTTCATAAAATAGCAATAGCCAAATGTTAAGGCACTAATATATATTTTATGGTGATAATACATACATTTGTTGCAATATATTTAATATTTATTTTCCTGGTACCATAGCTGGTAATAGAATATCACATAGTATTTAAAAATCAGTTACTTTTCACCAGCAAACTCATACTGTTAACATTTAAAGCTTTTTACAGTATGTGGGCAAGAAGTACTCTACCAGTTGAATTGCTTATGAATTTAGAAACACTTCAGGAAGCCTGCAAGAAAGCGATTGTGCAAATATTTAACAAGATCAATGGGATAAACCAAAAAGTTATAGGTATTATGCATGGCAAATGAATCAAAGAGGTAATAGGAGTTAATATAATTCCTGTTTAATCAATATGAGCTTTTGGAACATTATTTTTTTCAGATTTACTTTATGAGATTATAGATTTGGTTAAGTATATCATTGCAGTAACCCTGGTTTTATTAAGACCTGATACAAAATAGTATTTTCATTAACAATCTAATACAATATATCATGCAGCACCTTACACTGGACTGTTTAAAGGCTTAAGTTCAGAAAGAGTTCACCTAACACCGTGCGACCGGTCTTCGAGGCACTCAGAAGTTGCCATATCTTCCCTTTTTCCTTGTGTCACTTTAGGGCACAAATTATTAATCCATAATAGTTTCTAACCAAATTTTCGAATATAAAAAAAAAAAGTGTGTATAAAGAACAGTTTTAAATGATGAGTTGAATCATGAATATTCATATTGAATAGGCTGCCCAAGAATCAACAGCTCGAACATTTCTTGGAGCAAGCAAACTTGAACTCTGACAGGATCTTCCACTTTCTGGGGAAGCTTAAAGGGAGCTTCTGCAATACTTGGCATGGTGCTGGACCCAGTCTGAAGGCCTTGCCTAGCAATGCCACGTGCACTGGCAATGCACAATACAAAGACAGCAAGGTAAATGCCAAGCCCACTCGCTGTAGTTTAACCTCACTGTGTAAGACCTGTGTAGAAACACGAGCCTTGACATTAGTTATTTTTATCTCAAAGGAAATTTAAAGATTATTTTACAACTTCCCAAAGCTCTACAACTGAGATCCAGCTATTGTTCATTCAGCTGTTTTATTACTTGTGCCCTCTTAAAAAGAGCTGTTAACGCTGCAAGAATCTCATTATTTTCTGTGGAGTAAAAAGCATGACATACATGTTGGATTAAAAAAAGAAAAAACAGGAGTAAAAAGCATGAAATACATGTTGGATTAAAAAAAGAAAAAAAAAGAAAAAAAAAGGAAAAAAAAGAAGTAGGACTCATAATTAACTGACAAAGTGCAGAGCCCAAACTAAGACATCTGGTTCCTGAGACTGACCCACTCATTCAGATTAAAAATAAAGAGAAGATTATGAAAAATCTGGTCCCTGATTTAATAAAGTACTCAAGTATGTCTAGCTTTACATATTCAAGTTACCCTACCACAGCCAATAGAATTACTCACTTAAAAAATGATCTGAATGCACAGAGCCCATGCCAGAGGAGAGAGTGAAGGGAACTTGCAGGAGAGAAGATGGGAAGCAGTGTGGGGTGGCAGGGGTGCACCTAGCACACGCTGCCTTCCTGGGGTCCCAGCTCCAGAGGAGAAGCACATTCAATTTTCCTGCTGTCTGGTCCCCCCGACCCCAGATAGATGTGTTTGCAGATAAGCACTGCACCCAGTCAGTGAAATGATCATTTTTGAGCATCATCTAGCAAAGACTTAACACAGCCCAGCTGAGGTATAAACAAAGGCAGAGGCTTGAAAAGGAGCAGCTGGAGAGGGGAGCTTGTTAAGTAACTCTAAGATTTATTCCCCTGGGAGGACCTACTAGTTGCAGACATTAGATTCCTGTATTTTTCAGGATACATCAAAGCCAAGATTTACAAACAATGGATACTGCTTTCACAGTTTCCCCTCCTGCCCCTCTGCTTAGGAAGAGTAAAACATACGTGTGGACGGCTTCAAGGAGAATTAAGGTATTATCAGCTGCAAAAGGAAGAATAAAATCACCAATTAAACATGATAAAAGCAGGAAAATAGAGTTATTAGAAAAGAAATTATCTGGAAGCCACTACAAATTTATTCCAGGCTGCAAAATAAATCCTTATTAGATCTAATGTAATAACATTTCAGCAAATTGAAAGAATTTTTATTAAAAAAAAGAACAGTTCAAAAATATTTACACTTCTTGAAAGTAAAATGTTTCAGTTTGTTAAAAAAAAAAACTCATAATTATATTGAAAATCAACTGTTCAGATTAGTTCAACATTAAGCTACATTCTGGTATGAAAAATGCAATTTGAGAAAGTTGAAATTAAGCTCAAGAAATAATCAAACATTTTCTGCAACTATTACAATTTTGGGGGTAGGTGCATAGTCAAGAAGACAACTATTTTGAATTAGGTGAGGCAGACTGGAAGTAAATTTTCATAAAACTTAGAGCAAAGTTAAAAATCAAAGTTCAAAAAAAAATGCAGAAAAAGGCCATTAGGTTATATCGAGAAGATATATGTATTAAAATTAACACTAGAGCTAACAAGTCTTTTCAAGAAAAACATGGAGTTGTCTTTAAGCTATTTTCAAGCACTGAAATTAAAGTAGCTGGAAACAAAAACACTTACTCATCAATCTGATATTAAACAGGGCCATCACTTTAAATTTCCTTAACCTATGAAGAGACACTTGGTAATTCAACTTTTATTATTATAATTAGTCTGTTAATTCTTCTATAATTTACAACTGATAGATCATATCAGCATAGAGAAGCACTCTTTGCTTATTCTACTTGTTCCGAATATTGCCTACTATTTTCTATTAAAACGAACTAATATTATGTGTACTCACATAATATAAAGTAATTCAATATGTTCCTGTTCTTGAACATTCTATTTTTTATTTTTAAAACTATTAAAAAAGATTAGCAAAATGTGTGCTGGCAATCAAAATTGCTTATCCTGATAATTAAAGGCTTGGCAATCTCTCAGTAGCCAATTTCTGGGTAACCTAATTAACAGTCCAAGATTAATGGGTGAAAATAGTCTTTTTCTTCAGTTTTGCATCTACTATATATGCATAGGAATCTTCCTGCTGCTTAAAAGCTATTTGTAAAGTATATAAAAGATTTTCTCTTTTTCTCAGTTCCCCTTTAAAAAATGTGCTTCTCTTTACACTGATCACCAAAAGATTGAAACGAAATTAAAGCACTAAGCATTAAGAAGCAACAAGGATACCAGTCTTTCTGGTAAGTACTGAAATGACACAGCTGGGTTGCTCCAGTCAAGAGTCATTCATTGACAGGAGGTAAAAAGAGAAGCTGTAAACACAAATATCAATCTTGCTACTGTCATCAGCTTTTATTTCACTGATTATATCCCGTAACCTCGCTTCCGCTGTCTTTTGGCCAGCTTGACTTCCCATGCCTAATTCCTCTGGAACCTAGTATAAGTGAATATTTAGTTTTGCTTTTATAGAAATTAAACAACATAAAAAGCTGTAAGGTGACAGAACTTGCCATTCTGATCTTCATTACATGCTATCTCATTTGCTAATAAACTGGCCAACAGATTAATCGAGTCAATAAACTTACAGTCATTGTATTCTGCAATCAAATATTAACCAAAAAACTCTGCACTTTCTTATACAACCTTGATGACAGGGCTGCTAGCTTTGGCAAACTTCAAGGTATGTTTTTGAGATGGACTTCCCAAACTGCAAGTTATGACAAGTTTATCCAGGCTACTTCTACCAATAGTTGTCAATTATTCAAATTTAAGAAGCCAAGAAGGAAAGAAAAACTTTAAAATAAGAAATTTGAAAGAATGCTCACTTAAACACAGCTTTGTTATTGCTTTGAATCTCATGGCCTCCTATTTTGCAAGGTATAGAAATCTCCATTGGAAGAATGGAAAATGTAACTGGGAAGGATAAAAATAATTGCCCAACTACATGGGAAGGTGTTGAAAGCTTTTTTTTCCAAGTTACAGAAATCCCCTGGCTCTATACTGTAGCATTTTAAATCTTGTACAAATTACTAAAATGACAACTTTTGGAAGTACTGTCATTGATCATAGAGAGTTAACATTTACACCCTGCTTTCACATTTTATTTCAGACATATAACATTTCTTGCTTGGCCATGTACAGAATAGAGTCCCTCTGTTCATCTCACCAAGGCAGGGTGAAGAGCCCTCTCACAGAGGTGGCATTTCAGAACAATTTAGCACCTTTAAATTTACATTAAAGCGTTTCAAGAGAATCTACTAAAATCTTCTCTTTCCCTGAATACAGTAATTTATATTTTGCTGCATTTTTCTATGAAGAAATCCTGTTTATAACTGAGGCTTTAATGATGCTAAAAGTTCAAGAGATAAATGGATCCAGGAAAAAAATATATATAGCTCGGTATTAATAGAGCTTTCCACCTACAAAATCCAGTATCAAAGTCCTGAGATTGTATACTGGGCGCGAATACCAAATCCATAACCACTTATTACAGCAGTTTTCTGTAACTTTAATTTATCAGAGCAAAACATGTCAGTTTAACACAGAAAAGAACCTATTGCTTTTGTATTTATTTTCTACCTTTCTTAAAAGAGATTTATTTCTTTGTTAAATTACTTCAAGAATTATTCATCATGTTTCAAGTCACCTGCATATCTTTTCCAGGGTCAAAGGATGGCTTTTTCTACCCCCTAATCTACCCCAACAGCAAGTGTAAGGCTGATAAGGCAAGGTAAAATTAATAGTAGTTAAGGAAGTTACATTTTAAGCAACTCTGCAGAGTTTCTTAAGCTCCATTTTCATGTGTGTGTGCATCATGTAATCCTACTAATATCAGCAAATAGGCTTCTGTCACCCATGAATTTAACAGGAGGATTCATTTCTAGTGTAATATTTTTCAGTTAATCTTGTTCTATATATTTTGACCAACTTTGTATCTTAATGTGACGGAGTAAGACAACCTAGTTACATAACATTTACATGGTCACTGTAGATCTGTGACTAGAAGCAGATAACCCAACTAAAAGTTACTCACAGAATCACAGCATAGTTGGGGTTGGCAGGCACCTCTGGAGATCATTTGGTCCAACCCTCTGTGCAAGCAGGGTCAGTCACAGCAGGGTGCCCAGGCCCATGTCCACATGGGTTTTGAGTATCTCCAAGGATGGTGATGCCACAACTTCTCGATGGCCAGTGCTCAACAACAAGCTTATGAATTCCTCTGTTTCAGTTTGCCCGGTCACTGGGTACCACTGCGACTTCTAACCCCGTCCTCTTTACACTCTCACTTCAGATATCTATACATATTGATTAGACCTTCCTGAGCCTTCTTTTATCCCAGGCTGAACGGACCCATCTCTTTCCGCCTCTCCTTATATGGGAGATGCTCCTATTCCTTCATAAATTTTGTGCCCTTCTAGACTCGCTCCAGTAGGTCCACGTTTCTCTTGCAATGGATAGCTCAGAGCTAGGCCTGCAACTCCAGCTATGGCCTCATTGGGCCTGAGCAGGCAGGAAGCATCACCCCCGTCTACTCGTCGGCAACACTCTGCCTAATGCAGCCCAAGATGTTACTCCCCTGTTTTTAAACTCAGACTAGAATTTAGGATGTGAAAATTCCTCAGATAAAGTAATCAAAAATAATAACTTGCCTGTACAATGAACTGAGCAGGTCTTGGAGCATGGCCTGCTCTAATCACCTCCCCTTGCATTTGAATTAAGCAATGGTCCAATTAAATTCAGTGGAAAATTATATGCCAATGAGATAATTTCTAATGCTACTGGCCAATTGGAACTGTCTCTCATGTATAAACTGTATGTACATGGAGGAAGGGAGGGGTAATGAGAAAATGCAACTTTCTAGCCTGGTGGCTAGATTAGTCACTTGGGAAATGAAACACCTGGTTCCAGTCGCTGCTTCAGGGAATGTTTAATTTTACATGTAGAGCCACACAACAAACCTTACACAGATCTCTCTGTAGTTTGTGCAGTGGAGCATTTTCTTAGGAGAAGAGAGCTGCGTGTTCAAGTGACCTTAGCCAGGGAAGGGAACTGCACTGGAGCCCATGTCCAGTGTTGCCTGCTTCGCCACTGGGCCAGTAGTTGAGTTTGTCATTGAAAGGAGAATCCAGCCACCTCATTCTTCTCTGACTTCACTACTTTCATACTACTTGTGAAGGAAAACAAAAACAAAAAATGAACAACCCACAAACAAACTACACATTTTTCTTTATATGAATGCAATTTTGGACTTCTTTTCCAGAAACAGTTTCAAAATTTGAATTGCTCTAAACTGGGCAGTTTTTGAAATGGGTTTCATTATATGACTTGTGTATTTAGTTATACTTTGTGGGGAATTATCAGTGGACCTAATGCAAAGTAGCACCAGGAAAAGAGAACTGTCCTTCCTGAACACTTCTCTGCCTCACTTGTGCACATGACTCAAACTCACCTTCCCCTGCAGCACTTCCCTATCGTGTCTGAAACCTTGTCCTGTTCTTTGTGCAAGGTTAGAGTCACTCCCAGATATCAAAGCCTTTCTGCTAACAGTTTACACAGGTCACGAGGATGCACAGGAGAACTAGCCTCCAAGCAACTTGTAATTGTCTAGAATGTAAATATAAAGGAATACAGAGAGCATAATAGGAGTATAGGTTGCTGTGTCAGAATATACATCTCTGATCAATGCTTCAGTCTAACACCACGTGAAGTACAAGGTACAAAAATAATACACCAAGACACCTGATACGATTAAAAACCGAAATTACATAATACACAGGCAGCATCTTCCAGAATTGTACAATTACATGTCTTGTATACAACAAATACTTCCAGTCAAGCCTGATTCTTTCAGCCTCAAAAGCCAGAGCAATAAAAATCCACTTTTCTCCTATTGATAAGAAATTAGCCTTTAGGGAAAGTCTATCACGAAGAAACATTCAAACACAGTTTAAAATTTTAAAAGTGTCCTAATAGATTCTGGCATCCAAATCCCATTAAAATTTCCAGGAATTTGCCACTTAACTCTGAAGTATTTCATTCACACGTAGAGATGGCAATAATTGCATGCACAGAGAAATATTAGGAAGCAAGATTCTAGCAGTGGAAGCTCTTACAGCTCTTCCTAGAAACTTTATGGCTGATTGCAGTCACACACAATATCTTCTTGAAAATTGTCTCACATAATCTACTGAGGAAAAGAAAAGTGGAAAAGATGACTTTTTAAGAATAATGCAAATTAAAAAGTCTAGGTGAACTGCCTAACTTGTTACTGAAAATGGCAATATGCAATGCCTCTAGGTATAAAGAAAAACACTCTTGTGAAATAAGATGTACATTAACAGTTAGAATTTATCTTTCGGGTAACAAAAAGTCTTCTAAAGTATTTTGGATGCAAATTCATTTTTGATTCATTTTAACTATTATTCCTTCATCAAGCTGTATTTCAAATCAACATACACTGCCTATCTCAAACGATGCTAAATTTAAAAGATATGAGTTTATCGCCAGTCCAGGCAGGGATCTATGACACCAACTAAAAGGTTGTTTAAGCCAAAGAGGAAATTTCTTCCTCCAGGCCCTCCAGGAGAGATGCCTCCCCCTGTTGTCAGGCATTGCTGGGAGAGTTTGCAATAGCAAAAAGACTTGTTCTACATGTGTGTTACAGATTTTAACAGCTTCCCACTGAGATAAACCTTTCCTTGCACCCCAGGTAGGACTGACTTCTGCTTTCCTGCTTTTTTGTTTTCTAGCACTATGAGACACTTCTTACTTGTGCATCTTCATGAAGATTTGGCATATAGGGAGAAGTTGGAAAGCAACAGTGGCAAGCGCCCTGTAGGAAATAAAGTTGAAATTAAACCGAATGGTATGCATGTCAGGACTATAAGAACAGCCAGTATAATTTTAACCTACATAAAACATCATGAATTATAAACACAGAAGCCTTCCTTTTGGGTTGTTGTATTTTTTGGGTTGTATCCCATTTCTACTAGGGTAGCTGAACCTGGTCATCACTGGGCATGCTGCTGATAACTACAGTTAAAAGCAAGAGACACTGATGAACATTAAGCAGCATCATGGAAGGTTCAACTTTGGTTAAAAGCAGTAACACACACACACATACACACACACAAACATGTCCAACCTGATTAAAGGAAAACATACTCTAAAACCACCCCAGTGCAAAATGTAATGCAATTACAGATGGTTAATAACAAAAATATTAAGATTAATGAAGTAATGAAAAGTGATTTTTTATTATTATTATTTTCTTGAAAAGACAAAATCATCAACTAAGCTAAGAAGCGAAAGAAAGAAACTTATAGCAAATGTATTTGGAAACACTTGATGGGAGATGCCTTTCCACTTTGAAACTGCAATACCTAAACTTAGGTCTCCAAAGGCACATTAGGCAAGATGAGTTTTTACTTGTCCCATTTAAGACTTGTTGCCCAACCTTGTATTAATAACTCTTCGTCTGCACTTATACTGTAACCTAAAACATCAAATTCCTAGGGTAAGCTCCACTTTGAAACTGCAACACCTAAATTAAGGTCTCCAAAGGCACATTAGGCAAGATGGGTTTTTACTTGTCCCATTTAAGACTTGTTGCCCAACCATAGGTTCCCAGAACTGTGGCATCCTAAGGTCAGGGTGATCACTGAGCGCCTCAACTGACCTCGCTTGCCACACTGGACTAAATGCTGAGCAGCTCCATCACCCGCCAACTGTCCTTCCAAAAGCCATGAAAAAGTGTAATTCCAATAGGCCCCAGAACAAATCTGGTGCACCAAGGCCCCCCATGTCTCCTCCAGTGATGTCCCCAAGCTCTGGAGTCTATAGAAATTAGTGAGAGATAGATTCAGTCTCAAAGAGGGTAATTTGTCTGCATTACTTTCTGAAAGTCTTCTACTCCAAAACACTCTTCATTGATGTTTTTAATGTGCTATGTCTGATTTATCATAGTCTTTGGGTAATTTATCACTTAATGCAACTTACGCTTGTATAATAACAGTTACATTTGTCCAGTCCAGGTCTTTTTGCAAGCATCATCTGATAAAGGCATAAGGGCTTTCTAGCTAGTTATAAATATTACCACCTTTTTGCCAAACAATAGTAAATTCTGGAGTTCTGTTTTCAGTTAGTATTTCTAGTGTCAGAGAAACTACTAACAGACATCAGGTAGTATCAATTTAATTTGAATAACGGTTGCATTGCTACTGACACATTACACAAATCATTTCAGCTCACCTTGACCAGAAATGGCTAAACAATAGTATATTCTAACCAACTTCAAACCAGCAGCAACTGTGCTCATAACTTATAAATTCCGAGAAAAGTCATTATTGCCTCTATCCCCAACTTTCCCAACTTGCATCTTTCCCAGTTTCCTTTTCAACTCCACATCAGTTACTTGTGCAGAGAAAGAATATGGACAATACTGTAGGCAAAACATAGCTACCTATTTATTTTATTGGTTGCTTTTTTGTTGTTGGTTTACATATTACCTGATTACTGAGGAATGTTGCACAAGTCATCTCATGCAAAAAAATCTTCAACATAATAATGCTAAATAAATAGGTCAAACAAGAATATGTGTTACCATAGCCAAATATTCCATTTTTAATTAAATAGCCTTGAAATCAAAATCAAAATGTTTCTTTTAAAAAATGGCTCATGCTGCTATAACACTTCTATAGTAATCAAAACAATCTAATACATCTAGCATGCTTTCAAATAAACTAGATTAGAAAAATTTAAATCAGATTTCAGTAATTTCTGAGTTTTGCTATGAGACTTGTTTATTTTTAGTTATCCCATTGGCACACAGTGGGAGGCTCACTCTGAAGAGAAAAGAAAGGAAGTAAGCAGATAAGAAGAATCACTTACAAAATTGCAAGTTTATTCTTCTTGCACCCCCCACTGCCTCGGGAAGAGAATAAGGAAAACAAGCACAAAGGAAAGGAAAGGCATAAGCAAAACATCAATAGAAGTAAAAAGTAACATTTTCACTGTTATCTGCTAGGTGACCTAGGGAAGTTTCTTTTCTTTTTCTCCCTCTCTCAATTACTTAAAACTCTTTTTTTTTTTTTCCAAATACTTAATTTC